CTCCCCTCGGCAGTGTACTTCCTTGATCTGCCTGTTCTGCTCCCCACTCTGTCTCTGGTGAATCCTCTCACCCTCCACATCTCTGGCCTGTACCTGAGTCTGTATGCATAAATAAATAAATCTTTAAAAAAAAAATTTCAAAATCATGGGTCTTGGTGGCGCAAGAGGTTAAGTCTCAGCACTATCAAACTGTAGGCAGCCACTGCAGCAGGAGTTGGATCCCCACCAGGAAGCACATGGCACAGCAGACCTCTTTTGTCTCATCCACTGCTCCCTTCAGCGGTGTGTTTCAGTTAATCCTCCTGTTCTGCTCCCAATTCTGGCTCCAGTGAGTCCTCTCACTTCCATATCTCTGACCTATACCCCAGTTCTTAGATGCATAAACAAACATTTAAGAAATAATTTCAAAATTATGAAAGACAAAGACTAAAGAACTGTTCTTGATAAAAGAAAATTAAGAGACTTGCCTTCTCAGTGCAGAACATGATCCTGAATTAAGACATCAGTGGCACAATTGCTGAAATTTAAAATAGCTCTTTAAAGTACAGTGTCGTATTGCTGATAATTTCCTGACTTGATAATCTAGCTAGGAGACATACACACATACATATATATACATACACATAATGTGTGTATTCTTATTTTTAGGAAATATGTAGAAAAGCTTGAAAGTAAAAAATAGTAAGTATGCAAGATGGTAAACATTGGGAAGTTTGAGGGAAGGGTGTATAGGAATTCTTTTTACTGTTTGTACAATACTAAAAGTGAAATAATTTCCAAATCAGAAGTTAAAATAATTGCATTTATTAAACATAAATAATATGTATACATAAAATGTATACATAATTTATTCTTCTTAAATGTATACATAATTTATTCTTCTGCTCAACTATCTGGGTCTTGGTGGGGGTAGCAGAAAATGGGGTGAGAACGGGCTGAAGCTCACACAGTGGCCTCCTTGATGCAGAAGTCTCAGGGCTGTTGGACTTCTTACTTGACAGCCTAACTTTTCAGAGAGAGTATTCCAAAAGACTTGCGTGTAATCTGCAGGGCTTCTTACGACCAAACCGCAGGAACTCCAGCATTGTGGTTTCACTATATTCGATTAGTAAATCACCAAAGACCATATTCAGGGATAGGAGGATGAGACATCACTCCTTAATGAGGGGAATAAAAGGAATTTACAACATTATTTGTCTGTCAGTGAGATCTTATTTCAATTAAGATTTAAAGTGGGTCCAAACAAATTTGGAAATGTTACATTATTTACTATAACTTAATTTGGAATCACAATTTATAAAATCATTTTACTGACACATGTCATTGAAGAATATTGAGCTGGCTTAAACTGTGTAAATGAACAGAAGTTTGGATAAGACAGTAAGAATTTTCCTTCCCTCAGTCTTGTAACTTTTATTTGTCTATAAGCAATACTGTTGTACCTCTTTTAAAATACTAACAACTTTAAATTAACTGGGTTTTAGATTATTTACAAAATTGTGTTTCATTCTGATCTTGCCAGTGTTGACTTAACCAGTGAAGAGACAACTGATTGCAGTAGCTCGAAAACCAGCACATCTGACAAGATTCAGCAGGAAGATGGCAGCATGCTCTCTGTCCTTACTTGGAATATTGATGGACTAGACCTAAACAATCTGCAAGAGCGGGCCCGAGGGGTGTGTTCCTACTTAACTTTGTAAGTATTATCACTTCATTTATGGTTACTGTTTTTGCAATTCCAGCTGAAATAATTTCAAAACCAGAAGTTAAAAGAATTGCATAATATAGCTTACCTACCTACAGACAGGATAGTAGTTCAGAGTTAGGAGATTTGGAATCAGACCTTAGCTCAAAATCCAACTCAGAAGAAATATATGAAAGAATTGAGTGTCTTCTAGAGCAGAAATATGATTTGGGGTGAAGAGGGCACACTAATTTTTGCTAGAAAACTCCGAGTATTATTATTGATTCAACTTGTTATTTAAAATTGCTATGAAAATAAAATTACCAAAAAGACGTATATTTGTTACATATTGACTCTGACCTTGGACAAGTCACTTAAATTCTCTTGTGCTTGTCCCCATGGGCAGGGTTGAGACAGTATTAAACTGTAGGACCATTATAGGCTCTTATTTTTTCTGTGATTCCATTTTTTTTAAAGTGTTGTCACATGTATGACTTTTCACATATTTGATCTTTGCAGAGTTACCATGTTAAATAGCATGGATCTTGTTTTGTAGTTGCTGAAGATCAGTATAAATATAGAATATAAGTGTCCAAGAGGGTAATTGATTTGTGTTTATTTTATGTTGCAGAATTTTCCCCATAATCTAGATAACTGCAAGTGGAATGGTGTACTTGGTGTTTATCATAAATTTATTTTTAATTAGGTACAGTCCAGATGTGATATTTCTCCAGGAAGTTATTCCCCCATATTATAACTACCTAAAGAAGAGAGCAAGTAGTTATGAGATTATTGCAGGTAAAAATTTTCCTATTTTGTCTGTCGTTTTCTTTGATTGAAAAGTCAATGAACGAGAAATCAATGTTAGCCTCTTAGAGCACAAACAAAATAAATTTGAGCAAACTAGGCTAGACACAGGATATTAACTATGGGAAAGTGTGTTACTAACTTAATGTATATTTATGAAAATAACGTATATTTATATTTGTGAAAAGTTAATTGAAATGAATGCTTTTCTAGGAAAATACAAGTTGCCAACATTTGAGACATTGAGTAGCTTTTTTATGAAATTAAATTGTTTAAAATTTTTAATGTAATACTGCATTGTGGTTATGCTTATTTTTTAAATCATTTTTTTTCCTGTTGTTCTTTTTCTAGATTTTTACCCTAAATGATTTAATTTTCATTTTTTTCTGTCTTGGGCATCGCTATCTTGTTTATTTCTACCTGTTTTTCATTTAACGTACACTTTGGCCGCCTTTCATGATTTTTTTTTTTTTTAAAGATTTATTTATTTGTGCATACAGAACTGGGGTATAGGCCAGAGGTTCAGGAACGGCGAGAGGCTTCACCAGAGACAGAGTGGGGAACAGAACAGGCAGATCGACGAAGTACACTGCTGAGGGGAGCAGCGGGCGGGTCAGGAGAGGTCTGCCACGCCATGTGGTCCCTTCCGGGGCAGGCGGGAATTGAACTCATGCGGAAGCGGCTTTTAGATTCTCAGTGCTGTGCTTTAACCCGCTGCGCCACCAGGGAGGGCCCGCCTTTCATGATTTTTAACTCTTGCCTTTGACTTCCACTTTTACATGGTATGCAATTTTAAATTTGATTTATTCCATTCCAGAATTGCTAAGAAGATTCTGTCTTATCCTCTGCTTTTCTTTCTCTCTTTATGAGATCACTTTTCTGGATTCGTTTGGCTTCTCTTCAGCTTTGGCTCTCATTTTCTGACTCCTATGCTTCCCCCCTCCTTGGTTTATTTCCGCAGTAGACACAATAGCTAATCTCTTTCTAAAAAAGTTTCGTGAGCAGTGATGATTTTTAACCCTAGCATATTTGGAATGCCTGTGTTCTACCTCATAATTTGTTGATAGTTTGGCCAAACATAGATTTCTGGGTAAAGGTCCTTTCCATAGAATTTTTAAGACATTATTTCACTGTTTTCTAGTTTCCTTTATTAGTGATGATAAAGTTGATGCTTTTCTGATTTCTGTTTTTTTCTTTCCTCTTTGGAATCACTGAGGGTCTTTTAAAAAATATTTTGGTCTGAACACATCATAAAAACTTTCAGCCTGGAGGTTTGTAACCTTCAGTTCTGAAAAATTCTTTTTTTTCTCTTGTTCCTTCCTGCCTCTTTCTTGGCCTTTTTATTTTTCTGTTCTTTTCTCCTTTTCACTCCTTTTAAAAATTCATTTACTGTAATTTTCCTGGTGCTTCTGGAGTGTGAAGTAAATACTTATCTATTTACCCCAGTTTAAGATCTATCTTCTCTGTCTTGAAATTTCTCAGATTTTCTTTTTTGACTATTTTTGGTACTTAATGAGAAATCATTTTTATTTTTATATTTATTCCATATTCCAGTTGACTTTTGGAAGGGGGCAGGTAAACATAGCAACTTGGTTGATTATATTCAATTGTGTTGAAATAGTTTTAAGATGTAGAGTCATTTCAGTATCTGTATTTGTTTGTTATAAAATCTTCAGTAAGGGAATTTGTGATAAACTTCAAGTATTCTTTCTGCCTAAATTCTTTTCCACAAAATTTGAAGGTCATGAAGAAGGATATTTTACAGCTATAATGTTGAAGAAATCAAGAGTGAAATTTAAAAGCCAAGAAATTATTCCTTTTCCAAATACAGAAATGATGAGAAACCTTTTGTGTGTGCATGTAAGTAACTTTTTTAAATGGATTTTTCAGTAAACAGAATGATAGTGTTTATAGTTTGTTGGTGATGAAAAAAAAAAACTAAGGGGGGGATAAGTTGGGTAAAAGGGATTAGTTATGTGGTAAAGTATGGAAATGAACATTCAGTGGTATCCGTAATATATACAGATGCTGACTTGTAATAATGCCCACCTGAAACCTATATAATGTTATAATTCAGTGTTACAAAAAATTAAAAGAGAAAGAACAGTTGCCTTTAGAGAAAAATCTGCACTATACTATAAATTCTTTTAATAATATTAAAGAATTTAATAAGTTAAGCTTTTACATGGACAGCCTATAAAAATAAAATCCCTGATCCATTATATGTTTTCCTAAAGATGTGTGAGTTTGCTAATATACCACATTTGCTTTGCAAAGTATTTTGAAATGTATTCATTGGACATGGTGCATTGTACAAAGTCCATGTTGGATTCTCACACTTATGAAAATTAGTGAAATAGATCTTGTTTTCATAGAGCTTATAAGTTAGCAGGGGGGGTGTTGCATTTATACTAGCTAAAACAAACAAAAGGCATAAATGCCATGGGAGAGGTGCTATTGAGGGATAAAGGAGAAATGACATAGCTAGACTGTTTACAAATTTTATGAACGGCCTCCTTGGTGACACAAGGGGTTAAGTCAGCACAATGATCTATCAGCAGCCACTGCAGCACCTGTTCGATCTCTGACCAGGGTGCTAGCCCTGACCAACATGGTGCAGCAGATTCCTGTTTTGCTCTCTGTTCTCTTCAGCAGTATATTTCAGTATATTCTGCTCCCGTCTCAGTCTCTGGTGAATCCTCTCACCCCCTACACCTCTCACCTATACCCTAGTTCTTGTATGCATCAATAAATAAATCCTCAAAAACAAATTACATAAAAAAAAATTGTATTTGAATCAGACCTTGAAAAATAAGGTGTAAGATGTAGACATGAGGAATAGTTTAAACTTTTCCAAGTTGAAAGTGGCAGGTTGTGTATGTGTATATGACTAAATTAGCATTCTCTTCAATTCAGTGTAGAAGACACAGATTGGGGTAGCTAGCGTGAGGGAGGTGGATTGGCCCCAGATTATAGAAAATCGTGAATGTTCTTTGTGGAGAGGAACACTTGTGCGATCATTCAGTTTGGGGAACCTTAAAACCAGTCTTTCCAGCTTGCCTCAGGAGTATACAGACTATTGGGGTAGGGCTCACAGAGCAGGTGCCATATATAGTAGGACTTAAAGCATGAGTGGACCCTTGCTAAGCAGTAGTATTCTTTGGGAGCAGGGTTGGCACTTTATCCTGGATCTAGCAGGATTAAGCATGGCATTGATTGCTTTCACTCTGGTAATCACAAACCAGTCAAGAGAAATTTGCTGATTCTGTTACCAAAGTTATCACTCATTAGTGGTTACCAGATAATCTTTTTTTTTTTTTAATTTTATTTCTTTTTTATTTTATAAAAGTTTATTTTTACATCATTTTGTACATTTTTTTCCCCATCTCAATTGTAATCTCCGCGGGTTTCCCATCACCAAGTCACCCGTGTGCCATCACCCGTGCACTTCCCTCCCCACCCCCCCGTTTTTGATCCTGTTCCCCACTCCACCCCCACAAAATGTCTCTGGTATATGATTGTTCATTATTTTTGTTATTTTCTCACCTGGTTACCAGATAATCTTAATAACAAAATTATCATGTTGCAGGCGAGTATGTCGGGAAATGAACTTTGCCTTATGACTTCCCATTTGGAGAGCACAAGAGGACATGCCAAAGAGCGAATGAACCAGTTCAAAATGGTTTTAAAGAACATACAAGAGGTTCCAGAGTCTGCTACCGTCATTTTTGCAGGAGATACAAATTTAAGGGATCTAGAAGTGAGTGATAATTCATCTCAGTTTTTATAGGCAGATTATTGCTGTGGAAACTACGAGCTTCCTTCTGTCCAAAGTTGTTAAAATAAGGGCCTTCATTTGCTGAAAAGTGCTATGTGACCTTGCAGATCCAATTCAGTAAGTACTTTACTTAAGCTCTGTGATACGCCCAGTATTGGGGGAGCAGAGGTAGGAGATCTTACATTATTGGGGGAAAACATAAATACTGCATATGAAACAGACAACACAAAATCAAATGTTGCTGAATTTGCATTGATTCACAGGAGTGGAAAGAGAAAATAATGAATAGAAGAATTTAGAAAAAAGGAAGTTAATTTGTTGTATTGCATGGTGAGAACAGAACAATTTGAAGTTTATGGTTGTCGCTAACTCTCTTCCGATGTCTGTTCTCTCCTATCCCCACTACCACTGTGTCCAGGATGGAAACAAAGTCTCTGCTTTTAGTACATTAGAAAAGATTGAAAATTTTCAGGACTTAGTGTAGATTGGTAACACATTAAATGGGTTTTCCTACCTAGCCTTTTCCTCTCATTCTGGCTGAGCTCACATTAGATTGAAAGTGAAGTGAAATGGCGCAGAGTCTCTTTATTTTCACTGCACAAAACTCCAGGAGTAGAAGAAATGAAATGGAAGAGGAAAGCATGTCAGGACTTACTGCCAGAGTGAATGCAGTATTCCCAGTCCAGGAGGTGGTGCCCTTCCCACAGCGATTTCAGATTCTAATACACATTTTAAAAAATCAAACTTACTATTGAACTCTGCAAATCAGAGATAACAGCTATGTTTCTTGTTATGTGGTTGACAGTCTTTTTAAAAAGACTGCTTCTGAAAAAGTGGTGCTGGGAAAGCTGGATATCTTACATACAAAAATCTGAAATTGGATCTTCATATCATATACAAAGTTTACTTAAACTTTGGATCAGAGACCTCAAAATAAATACTGACACTACAAAATCATTGAGGAAAATGTGGAAGCAAGGCAGATTCCTTAGCTATGACAACAAAAGCACAGGCGACAAACTTTCAGAACTAAAGCTTTGCATCAAAGGATACACTGTCAGTGAAACAAAAGGGCAGAAATGGAGTGGGAGAAAATATTTGCACATCATATATTTGACAATGCATTAACACTCATATTAGACAAAAAACTGTGGCTTAATGTAAAACAACCTGATTAAAAAACAGGCAAAACATCTAGACATCTTTCTAAAGAAGATGACCGAGAAGTACATCAAAAGATGCGGAGCATCTTGCAATACGTGCTGCAGATAAAACTATAATGGGATTCCACTTCACATCCATAATATAACCTACCAAAGAAACAAAATAATAAGTGTAGGTGCGGATGTACAGACTCCTGGACCCTGGAGTATTGCTGGTGGCAATGTAAAGTGGTGCAGCTACTGTGGAAAACTAGGATTTTCCTAAAATTAAACAGATGATCCCACAATTCACTTCTGGATCCATACCCAAAACTAGTACAGCAGTCTCAAAGAGATGTTTGTTCACTCATGTTCATAAGCAGCATTATTTACAACAGTGAACCTGGAAGCAGCCCAGGTGTAGACTAGTGGATACACAAAGTGTGGTTATCCGTGCAGTAGAATTACCCAGCTTAAGAAAGGGAATGTTGACACCGGCTCTAACATGGGTGAAACCCTTCGACTGCACGCTTGGCGAAATAAGCCAATCACAAAAAGACAAAAGTTTGATGATTCCTTGTACATGAATTTCCTAAAATAGAAATTCATAGCAAGTAGAATGTTGTTTGCCAAGGGCTGAAGGGAGGCCAAAATGACAGTTAATTTTTAAAGGGTGCAGACTTTCAGTTTAGGAAAATGAGGACATCTTGCACAAATGTGGTTGTCCAGTACTATGTGGAAGCACTTGATGCCACAGCACTTTTATACTATGCATATTTTACCACTTTTTAAAAAAATTCTAGAATGTGAATTGGATAAGGGAGAATATTATTAGTAAATCTCAGATAAAAATGTGAAGGCAAGTGACACTGAACCATATAAGTAGCAGACTTCTGAATTTTTAGGCCAAAGAGATTGCAAAGAGTTTTGCCTTCTTTTCACTTGGGTTTTCAACCTCCTGAGTTTTCTATGACGCCCAGATAAGAATTTGTGTATAAAACAAGCAAAAAAAAGAATCTGTGTATAGTAGACGGAGGGATGAATTCCAGACTCTTGGGTATCAGTAGCTTTGTATTATCTACCAATTACTATGCAGCAAAACACTTTAAGTTACAACATATCTAGTTGGTAGTTGGTCATTAATAAATAATTTGCAGCTTCCAATTTGAAATGTTGCATTTACACATGATAACAGTATAAAGACACCTTTTTAATTTAGGGAAATGAAGACAGAATCTAATAGTTTCTTTTTATTTGCAGGTTACCAGATGTGGTGGTTTACCCAGCAACATTTTAGATGTCTGGGAGTTTTTGGGCAAACCTAAGCATTGCCAGTATACATGGGATACAGAAATGAACTCTAATCTTGGAATATCTGCTAAGTGTAAGCTTCGTTTTGATCGGATATTTTTCAGAGCAGCAGCAGCAGAAAATGGATACATTATTCCCCGAAGTTTGGACCTCCTGGGTTTGGAAAAACTAGACTGTGGTAGATTTCCTAGTGATCACTGGGGTCTTCTGTGTAATTTAGATGTAATACTATGACATGCTTATCATATAAAAGTTTAAAATGTTCTAAGTAGTTTTGTTCTGGATTTTTGCAAATATAATTTCTACCTGTTTGGAAAAGTTAGATTCAGTATAACAGAATTAATATACTGGGTCACTCTTAACACAAAAAGCTACTGTGCTTTTATTTTGTGAATTGAGTCCACAAAATGCAGAACTGAATATCAGTGTTTATTTAAATTAAAAGTAGACCAAGCACTGAGAGTTATGAGAGGCCTCTTAATGAAAGGGTGCAAAGACTGTCAGCTTTGACTAGTGGTCTTAGCTGCATGCTGGGTTTCAAGCAGGATCAGAGCCTCTCTGTGGGCTAGTTTTATATTTGATTTATTTTTTAAATCACACACTAAAGATGATAATTATTTTAAATAAGATTTCAACGGAAGATGATTAAAGTCAGGTTTATAGTGGTACTGGACTTTTTTTTAAAGAGAAAAATAAATGTGTAAAGAGAGAGCCACTTAGTTTTGCCACTTGTAAAGTAATTACAAGAAACTAAAGAGCACTTTCAAATGTGCTTTTAAAAAATTGGGTTTTCCCATAAGAAATGAACTTTAAATAAAGAATTTCACTTGTTTGCTTTAGTATGTGTTTGTGCCTATTATGGGATTAAGGTTTTTATATTGTTTCTTGTTCTAGTGCTGCTACTTCATGTTCATGTGGGAGAAAAATAGCTTTGTATGTCACTTCTCACCCTAGCTAAGAATTGCCAAAAATATATTGAGACTTCCTTAGTATAAAAAAAGAAAGCCAGTGGAATAATTAGAAGGCAAAGTGGCAGAACCTTATTTTTATCAGGAGTGTCAGAATTAACAACTAAAAAATCTAACAAATGCAACATTCCCATTTTAGTGACAGTGGAAAGGTTTTTTATGTTAGTCATAGTTTTAATCATTAAAAGTAATGAATTACTATTAATATCTTATACATCACAAAAACACTAGAAAAGGATGTTTTTGGCATAAGTTGATTATTCATTTGGAAGAATAAGAAACCAGCCTCACCTCACTTTGCCAAAATAGAAAAAAAACAGTAAAAGGTAAAATATAAACTATGTAATCATGTTGATTAGAGCAAGGAATTCTCAAGTTGTTTCAAAACTATGAAGAGTACCATTTTCTTTTCTATCACCCAAGTATCCAAGTGAAGGACCTTTCCAATCACTGCCTATAGTGACAAAATTAGAAACAAGTTATACATGAATGACGATGATTGAACCACTTGTAGTTGGTTTCTTGGGCAAGGGCAAACATACTTAAGCAATGAAAGAATTAAGGAGATTTGTAGTATCTTGAGATTTTTTACTATATTGGAAAGACTTTTTTCAGTATAATAGATTTTGTACCTTACCTTTCAGTGAAATTCTGCATCAGTTTTATTTTTATAGAATAAGCAACATCTTCACCACTGATATGGAATGTACTGGAACCTTATTTGAACTGATTTTCTCACCTACAAAATCGGATAGTTCCTTGTCTTTTATTGTGCAGCTAAGGAAGACAAATGTTTGAAAGATGAATTAAAAAAAAATAGGTTTCCTTTTATATGTCAAAATAGGTATTCCCTGTAATGGTGCTGAGTTTATAATTTAACCATTCTGGGTTAAGCCCATATATATTAATGTATTTAAAAACCATTATGAACAAGTTTGACTCAGTCAGATTTATGGGTACAGTAAAGAGGGGTACTGTGGAATCTTTAACAGGATGAGATCGGAGGATGTGTTTTATAAGGGTTGGGTTCCCATGGGAGGTTTCCTAGGAGACTCTTGAAATCAGGAGCTTGGTTACTGTTGCAAAGAAAGATAAGGAGAATTGGGTTTAACCCGTTTGAGTGTTCTCAGGAAAGGAAAGTAGCAATTTGGTATCACTGGCTATGGATGTGGAATAGCAAAGCAAAGGGGGCACTCAAACAGGTTTTTTTTGTTTTGTTTTGTTTTGTTTTTAAGTTATTGTTGCTGCAAGTCTTTGGGAAAGTTAATTTACTGTTAATTTTCTTTATCTGAGTCTGTCCTCTTAGCCTCATTAAAGGCAGGGTTGCCTTCTTTATCTAAGATTATTTTTCACTCAGTCCTGGACAAGTTTTTAATTCTTGTAGTGCACATTATCATTTAGTTCCTGTCACCAACCTTTTGTGAGTGCTATGGTTATCTCTTTTATAATTGAGGAGAGGAAGGTTTATCAGAATTACTTTTCTTATCCAAGACCCATCCAAGGCAACTGAGTAGCCTAGTAGGGGATTGTTCTTGACGTCTGTAACTCAGCCCTAAACGCCTGGCTTCATAGTTCTGGGAATGTGTAAGAAATGCCTTGACCCCAGAACAATAAAATGCAAGGAAGGCTAGTCTGCATTTGTTTTCCATGGATTCGCTTATCACCTCCCCCAAGAAATAAATGTCATCTAAATAGATTAGACAGCTAGTTAACCTGAGGACGGGGGCGGGGCTGGGTGGGGGAATGGAGTTGATGTGTTTACCCCAGAGCGGTTCCATCTTCAGAAGGGAAGCAGCACGTGTTCAAAACCTAGTAGGACCCGTGGAGACTCCCGCGGTAGAGGCACGGGACGTGTGTACGAGGGGTGACTTCGCTTCGGGGGCACATTCCCAAAGCGACTTTGACCCAGGTAGTAGGTTCACGGTTTGTGCGTTTGGAAGGGACGTTCAGGACCAATTGACGGGCAACGGGCTGGAGAAGGAAAAGAGCAACATGCAGGCCGCCCTGTTTCCTGAAAGCCGCCCGCGGCTCCCCTGCGATGTGGGAGTCAGTCGCCCGGATGCCCCTTTTAAGAGCTCAAGCTGAGCGGGGCTGGGACGGCTGCCCGCCCACTTCGGAGGATTCGCGTGCGCGTGCGCGTCGCTGTGGTAACCACGGAAAGGCGCTGAATCACGGGCGCGCGCTTTCCTAGCGCCGGCCGCAGCGACCGCCGGGTGCTGACTGAGGTCCCTCGGGTTTGCGTGGCTATTAGACTGGTGCTGACCTGGGCGGGCCTGGCTGGTCTCTCGAAGAGCGGAGCGTAAAAACTGAGGCCACGTTTGCTGTCACTTCAGGAGGGAGGTAAGAATGTAGCTATTGCCTCCACCTGCCGTGGGTTTGGGTTGGAGTCGTTCTGAGGGGCGGGAAGGCGAGAGATTTTGCTCAGAAGGGGCGGTACCGTCTCTCAGAGAGCAAATGCGAGCTTCACGGTGCGAATGCGTGTGTGTGCGTGTGTGTGTGTGTGTGTGAATGCACGAGTGTGTGTAAGGCCGGGAGATGACGAAGAGAAGCAGGTTGGGACAGCAGGTGATGCTCTGAGCCAGCGGCATCCACTGGGATGAGCTTCAGTGTCACCAGCAGGTACAGTGTCTTTACTTTGCAGCGCGGCTGGCAGAGTGATAGAAAGGGAGAGTAGCAAGTCCTCAGGTCAAGGCAAAAACACCAGAGTTTAGGAGGTGAGGTTTTTAAGGATTTTCTAGACAACTAGGAAAGGGCACGACCAGATTGCTGCGCTGATGGCTTCTTAGTAGGGTGGAGTCGGAAATTTTTGCATCTTTTTGAAACCTCATGAACTGCATTTCATAGACTCGTCTTTAAACTTCGCTTGGTAATATGTAATCTTTGCTCTCATTTGCTAAATTCATCTTGTCTCTGTATCTTGTCATAATCTGAAGCTTAAAAACATTTTAATGGCATTTTTCTTCTGCCTGCTGAACTCCCTTCACTGAGTGGATGTTAAGATAACATTAATCAAGAGCATAAACCTGAACTTGAGACTCACCAGCCTTTTAGTTTTCCATTCTATTGATTTTATGGGGACAAGAATATGATATCACACTCATGTTCATTTTTAATTGCTAGTTTATATTCACCTGAAGATTTTTGTGGGGTGAATATCTAAGGCCCCTTTCCCCCCTAGTGGTTAAATAGAACAGATCAATGATGTTTTGATAAAAGAAAAAAGTTAGCTATGGATTTTTGAAGTAAATGTCAACGTTGATTTCTTTATTCCTGAAATATATATTTACTTTCCAAATGTTTCGATTTATTTTAAGAAGACAACTATCGTGGAGACTATCGGCTACGCCAAATGTAAAATTATTTTGTCTCGTTTTTCATACAAATGAAGGACACTGGGGATATCAGCTATAGATTTGGGAGTCATAGAACAGCTGAATTCCTCTGCAAATTGGAAAGGAGAAATATTAACATACCCCAAGACTTTAGAACCACAGGTGCTAGAAAGACCCATTACTGCTTTTCCAAGTAAAAATGACAAGGCAAGGATTTAATTTCCTTTCAGAACAGCAAAAAGAATTTATCCAAAATCTTTATATATTAAGAAGAACGAAGAGCTTCGGTAAATTTTTAATGTAAATGAATGTGTCTGCTGTTAAGTTTTCTTGTCTTCATCATTGTCTCTGCCTGCAGTGATGTGGTTGCCAGGTGGTCAGATGGCCTGGGTTAGGTGCTAGCTATGCAAGTTAGTAGCTGAGTCTCCTTTGGCAAATTCTGTAAGCCCTGTACACCTCAGTTTCTTCATCTGTAAAATAGAGATAATGGCACCTACTTAATGATATTCCTGAAAAGAATTAAATATAAAAATCCAAGTGAGGGCCCTGCCTGGTGGCGCAGCCGGTTGAAGCACAGCACTGAGAAGCTTAAGCCACTTCCGCATGAGTTCGATCCCCGCCTGCCTGCCCCGGAGGAGATCCACATGGTGTGGCAGACCTCTCCTGACCCGCCCGCTGCTCCCCTCAGCAGTGTACTTTGTAGATCTGCCTGTTCTGCTCCCCACTCTGTCTCTGGTGAATCCTCTCACCCTCCGCATCTCTGGCCTGTACCCCAGTTCTGTATGAATAAATAAATCTTTAAAAAAAAAAAAATCCAAGTGAGAACTATCTGTTCATTGCTTGACATATAGTAACACACCAATAAACAGCTCTTACTGGTATTCTTGAGATACTTTCAGTATGTTTCAGAAAATATCTTCATTGTCTTCAAAATATTATAGCACTCAAAATAGGACTATGTTGATGTGACCAAAACTTGTTCTGATTTATATCATAAATCATAAAATGATTCAAGTTTCTCTGTAACAATAACAGATGAAACAAATCAATCAGACTCTTAAAGACATGTTGTCCAAGTAATTATGTTCAATACCCCCAAGGAAGAAAATCATTTTGCTAGACATCTTACATATATCTGGGTGGAAATGGCAACTCTTTCTTTTTTGCAAATCTTAACTTTCTTGAAATCAATTCTTCTCTTAATTCACAATTACCATTTTTCTGTCTCCGTCTAGGTTTGCCTTTCTAAAGTCATCCCTTTGCCCATAGTGGGTGAATGGACTGACAAAATGTGGTATATATGTACACTGGGATATTATTCAGCCTTACAAAGGAAGGAAATTTTGGTACACGCTACAATGTAGGTGAATCCTGAAGATCACACTAAGTGAAATAAGCCAGAAACAAAAGGACAGTGTTGTATGACTCTACTTATAAGAAATATCTGGAATAGTCAAATTTATTGAGACAAAAAGTGTAATATGATTATTAGAACTTAGAGGGACAAGGAAATATTATTGTTTAATGGATAGAGTTTCATTTTACTACTGCTAAGTATTTTAGATATTATATTACTTACCAATATGTTAGTCAACTTTTAGCTTCTCAGTGCTTCTTCAATCTCTTTTGTTCAATTCCCACCAGGATCAGTAGATGGTATCCTCAATTTTACCAGGGGGAAAAACAACCCTATTTCATTGTTACTCTGGAATTTAATGAGCATAAAGTTCTAGGTTCATAGATTTTATCTCTCAGGTCTTTTAGATTTTACTTTCATTATCTTCTGGCATCTTTTGGTTGCTGATGAAAACCTTGATGTCAGTCTAATTTTTGTCTGTGTTAAGATAATCTGTCTTTTACATCTCATTCTTTATGACATCTACTCCTTGTTGTAGGTTCTCTGCAGCTTCATTTCAGGGAATAGGTTTATTTCTATGGGCATAGATTTTTTTTTGCCTTCTCAGAACTTCTTGTACTTTGTAGGTATGAGGATTTATTTTTTGTCTTTTATTGATTCTGGAAAAACCCTCAGGCATTATCTCCTTGCATCTTGTCTCTTTCCAGTTCTTTGTATTCTTTCCTTTTGAGTTATCAGAAGATGTATATTGGATCCTTCATTAATTCATAACTCTCATTCTTTTTTGTATTTCCAACTTTATATTTCTTTGAGTAAAATTTCCTCAGATCCATTTCAGTTTACTGAATTTTAAAATTCATTGGCTTTGGCCCTCCCTGGTGGCGCAGCGGGTTGGAGCACAGCATTGAGAATCTAAGGCCGCTTCTACATGAGTTCGATTCCCGCCTGCCCTGGAGGTGACCACATGGTGTGGCAGACCTCTCCTGACCCGCCCGCTGCTCCCCTCAGCAGTGTACTTCACTGATCTGCCTGTTCTGCTCCCCACTCTGTCTCTGGTGGGGCCTCTCACCGGCCCTGAGCCTCTGGCCTGTACCCCAGTTCTGTATGCACAAATAAATAAATCTTTAAAAAAAAAAATTCATTGGCTTTATTTCTGACTGCACAATTTCTAATTTGGACCTTTCAAACCATACCCTTTAAAAAATTTTATTGTACTGGTATATTGTTATGATTCCTGTCTCAGCTCCTCATTTAAATCTTATTCACCACTTCAAACACAACATAGTACCTCTCAGGTATACTTTGACTTCCAGTTCTCGCTCTCATTTGTTACTTCTCTTATCTCCTTTGTGTTGATTTGTTCCCATTTTTAGGGTTATTCATCTTTACTGGGAATTGTTTTTCTATTGAAGTTCTGTGTATTCTGTGACAGAACAATGACTTTTTTTTTTTTAAAGATTTATTTGTTTATGTATACAGAACTGGGGTATAGCCAGAGGTGCAGGGTTGATGAGAGGATTCACCAGAGACAGAGTGGGGAGCAGAACAGGCAGACTGATGAAGTACACCCCTGAGAGGAGCAGCGGGCGAGCAGGAGAGGTCTGTAATGCCATGTAGATCACCTCCGGGGCTGGGGATGGAACTCTCACTGAAGCCTCCCTCACTGAAGCCACTGGCAGCTTACCTTCGCAGTGCAGTGCTACAATCCGCTGCGCCACCAGGGAGCCACCAGGGAGGGGCCCCAGAACACTGGCTTTCTAAACAGATTTCTGACTGCCTCTTTCTAGAAGCTTAGCTATATGTTAGTAAAGATTTCCTTCTTGTTGGACACACAAATGTTCCTTTTGGCGTGGAAATGGAAGTTATAATTTAGTACTGTATTTACTGTACTGTGAAAACAAAGTCGCCTTGGCAGTCCCACCTCAATGGCGTCATGATGGGGCTCTGTTTTCTCACTATCCCCTCCTCAGATGATTACTTAGTCCTTCCTGTCTACCTACAGTGGTGTTTATCACGTTCTCATAATTATTTATGATGTCAATCCATGTCCACTGCCATTCTTACTACATTAATTTGCTATTGCTGTGGAACAAAATACCACAGCTTAGTAGTTTAAAACAGTACCCACTTAATAGCATTTCCTAGGTTCGAACTAGACCCAAATTAATTTTTCAGTTGACTGCATCTTCATCTGGAGGCTCTGTGGAACAATCTGCCTCCTGATTCATGCAGGTTGATGGCAGATCCCAGTCTTGCAGTTTTGGGACTGAGAACCCCTTACTTGCTGGCTGCTGCTGGGGCAGTTCTCTTTCCCCGAGAGGCTGTTCTGAGGGTGTTTCCACATGCCCCCCGGGTCTTCAAAGCCAGTAGTGAGAAGTTTCTGATATGTCCAATATTTTCTAATTTCCCTTTCTGTTGCCAAATGAAGAAAGCTTGATGTTTAAAAAAGTTTCATATAATCATTAAGTATTGCTCAGACTATCTCTGGATTTAAAGCCAAGTGATTTTATGTGCAAATTTTTTTTTTTTTGCCACGAAACGTGGGCCCTCCATGGTGGCACAGCGGGTTAAACCGTAGCACTATGAACCTATCCGCAGCCACTGAAGCATGATTTTGACTCCCAGCCAGAGACTCACATGGCACAGCAGACCTCTCCTGACCTCATGCCTACTGCTCCCTGCAGCATTGTATTTCAGTCACTCTGACTGTTCTGTTCCCCATTGTCTCTGGTGAATCTTCTCACCCCTTGCACATCTGGCCTGTGCCCCAGTTCTTATATGCAAAAATAAATAAATCTTAAAAAAATTCTTTTTGTCATGAAGCGTAATGTAACCAGGCAGTAACACCTGTGGGTGAAGGTCACAGGGCTCTCTTAGAATTCTGCTTGTCCTTTTGCTGATAGCTGTTTCCTTGACCTTTTTCTTAAGTG